AACCCCCCCCCCCCCCCCCCCCGTTTTGTTTTGTTTTAACTTTGATCGTTTTTACCTTCTTTCTTTCTTTCTTTCTTTGCATTTTCCTTACACCAACGCACCTCTTCCACCGACCCTGAGCAATGCCGCTTTCTGCGCGGCGCTGATGGTGAGCTCTGGGATCCTCTTCTTTCCGGGACCCGTGGGCGCTTCCAGGAAGCCGACCCCCAGCAGGTACGAGATGTACTTGCCCATGATCTCCTCGTCGACGCGGCCGCCGGCCGAGAGATCCTCGCCCGTGAACTCCTGGTCCGCGCGCAGCGCCGTCGCCGCGTTGGTGTCGTCCATCTCCGGAGCGATCGTGTCGCCGGGGAGGTCGGTCGTGGCGAAGTGGTAGAGGGGCATCCTGTTTTTTTTTCAGTACGCGTTAGCAAGATAGATCACCCCGGATTGTGTTATTGTGCCCGAGATTGGGTGTTGGGGGTGGGGGTAAGAGTACGTACAGAGCATGTTGTTCTTTCCCCTCGGTCGCGGCGTACTCCTCCAGCTTCTTCTTCCACTCCGCATACTCGACTTCTGGAACATCGTAGCCATACGTCTGCAGCGTGGCGAGGTACTGGCTAAATGTCAATCTTGGGTGGCTCGTGACCTGGGCCACAGCTAACGGCGTCTTCGGCGGGTTCAGTGCTGAAGCTACGACGACCCTCGCGACATGGTCGACGGGGACCTGGTTAACAGTGTTCGCGATCCTGGGTCGGCAGCCAAGTTGGATACATCCCTTCGCCATCCGGATCAGGAAATCATCCGTGTTGGTGACACCGGATGTCTTGTGCCCGGTCACATATCCGGGTCGGATAATCGTACCGCGGAGGCCACGGGAACCAGCGGCGCGGACGAGATGTTCAGCCACCCATTTGGACTGCCCGTATCCGGTCCCCAGACCGGTAGTGCTACCCGACAGATCATCGTCCTCGGAAACGCCATTACCGCCTTGAGCGACCGAGTCTGCGGACAGCTTGACGTAGTACGGTGTGTCGAGCACAGAAGTAGATGAGACGAAGGCAAGACGCTTCGGTATTCCGGTTGCGCAAAGAGCAAGGATGTCGAGCGTCCCTTGAACGTTTGCTGGTTTGAGGTTGGAATAGGGGTAGACCCAGTGGACGAGGGCGCCATTGTGTATAATGATGTTCGCTTCCTGAGAGATTTGGTTCCAGGTAGATTCAGAGAGACCTAGGCGCGGGTCGCCGAGATTGCCCGTCACGCAGGTGATTCGAGAGGCCCATGAAGGATCCCAGACACCATAGGCCTCACAGGTTTGAATCACTCGATCAAGTGCCGCAGCAGAGTCGAGAGCTCGCACGTGAGCGATCACTTTGATGGGTGGTGAAGTGCGAGTTAAGAGGTCAGAGAGAATATAGGCGCCGAGGAAACCAGTGGCCCCTGTGAGGAAGACGGTGAGAGGAGTAGACGGTGATATCTTCTCATCGGCGGATGGAAAGCTTGCGGGGACATTTTTGAGTAGTATCTTCGCATCTGATGCATAGTCCTCAGCCGCATCCGCATGCCCATTAACTTCGCCATTGGCGCCTGAAAGCCTCCGGTCGATCTGAGCGGCAAAAGCCTTGAGGCTTGAATTTTGGAAGACAACACTCATGTTGATATTGAGACCAGTCCATTTGCGGTTGACCTTGAATAGCATTTGTTGAGCCAGAATACTGTGGCCTCCAATATCGAAGAACGAATCATCTGGGCTGATGGTGCGCTCGTCGATGGTCGGGATTAAGGAACCCCAGATACTTGCAACCTCCTTTTCGGTATCGGAAAGGTCCACTAAAGCGCCCTTCGGTCTTGCGGCTGCCAATTGTGCAGCGTCAGGGAATGGAAGAGCTGGCTTGTCTTTCTTGCCGTTCGGATTGAGTGGGAATTTCTCCAGGGGAATGATGACTTCAGGAATTGCATATGTGGGAAGCTTGGTTCTCAAGTACTTCTTGATATCGTCTCCCAATGGCCAGAATCGTCGAAGCCTGCCTTGCATTCCCTCGCCAGAAGTATCATCCTTCACATTATTCTCCTTCAACCATTCCGGCCATCTCCGCATGTCAGGCACAATGTAGCTAACAAGTGTTTGCTCCTCATCCTTGTTCCTTCGGACCAACGTAACATTGTCGAGGACCATCTCGTGATCAGAGAGATACTTGTCAATCTCACCAAGCTCAATTCTAAAGCCACGGATCTTGACTTGGTCGTCAGCTCGCCCAACACACTCAACATCCCCGCTAGGCATATATCGACCCAAGTCACCGGATCGGTACATGCGATCTCTTGGTCCCTTGTAAAATTCTCTCCATGGTTCCTCAGAGAGAGGCTTTGCAATTTTCTTGTCCTCCTCCACCCACCGGGAGTTGTCCACAAACCAGCTATCCACGAATTTGGTCTTGGTGAGCTCGTCATTTCCAAGATAGCCTTCGGCCAGACCCGCGGCACGAACGTAGATCTCACCAATTTCGCCAACATCGCAGATCCGATTGCGATTCTCTCGGTCAACAATGAGCAATTGCACATCCTTCATTCCCTTGCCAGCAGGGATGATATTGCCCATCTTCTCGAGGTAATGCTCATCGGAAGATTTACTAGGGATCTCGTAGTAGCTGACTGCTCGTTGCGTTTCAGTCGTGCCATACATATTGACTATAAAGACGTTGTCGGCCAGCCCTTGCAAAGCTCTGCAGTCCCGCTTGATTAGGATATCCCCGACGAAGAAAGCATGATGAAGTGCAGGGAATTTAGCACTAGCTCCACCGACTAAGATCTGACCCATGGCAGGAGTCAAGTGAGTGACAGTAGCACCATGTTCTCTCATCCATTCGGCAAGCCTTTCATGCTGAATATCATCCTTTGAAGGGACCAGTAATTGAGCGCCCAAGAAAAGCGGAGTGAAGATATCTCTCTGAATGGGATCATGGGCAATTCCGCTCAGCATTGTGAACTTGTCGTTCTTGGTCAGGTTGAATCTCTGTGCCATCCAATCGAAGTAGTAAGCAAGTGAATAATGTCGTCCTCGGACACCTTTCGGCCGCCCTTCAGACCCAGATGTAAATGACAGGGTGGGTGTTGAATCTGGTCCGACCACAATACCAGGCCCTTTGGCCTTCAAAGACTGCTGGTCTCTCAGAACGTCCTTTCCGTCAAGGTTTCCCCCGACAAGAGTGCCATCGTCCTTAAGTTCCAAGCCGGGGACCTCGGTCCGCAGGTTCAAGTTCTCCTTGATGAAATTTCGAACCTTTCCAGTCAGTTGACCAGCTTCTCTCGTTGCCTTTTCAATAACCACCAAGGCTCTCGGTCTAGCCACATCAAGGTAGATATTTTGTCGGTCAGGTGGGTATGAAGGGTCAATAACCGAAAACACTGCTCCAGCCTTCAAGATGCCCATGACGGTGACAACCAGATCGACACCACGATGGCTGTAAGACATCACCACCTCCCCACGCTGGATACCGCTCTGCACCAGATGGTGGGCCAGGATATTTGAGGCCTCATTGATTTGACGGTACGTGAATTCCCGCCGGGGAGACGAACCTGAAGCCGTCTCGACTACACATAGCCGGTCTGGGTGTGCTTCCGCATTGGTGGCGAAGATATCTTGGATTGCTCCCCGGAAAGCAGACCAATGTAGATCCGCCGTAGGGTCCGGCAGGTGAGTTTGCGTTGCGGCCATGATGGAGCGAGGCAATTGACTTTTTGACTCTATGAAGACAAAGATGATAGAAGAAACTAAGCCGCCCCGGACTTCATGAATTACCTAACAGGGATTGAGCCCGGATTGAGTGCTGATTGTGCGGTCCCAAAGCGGTAAGCTACACGCTTCACCAACTTAATGATGCAGACCGTGGAAAATCAGACGGATGGGAGAGTGAGCGTTTGTATAAACAAGCTTGTGGACCTCGAGAGAGAGGATACGTGAGAGCAGAGACCTTTACGGGCCAAAATCCTCGGTTTTGCAAAGGTGGGAGGACGTGGAATGTGAATATCACGAAAACAGTCAGATAAATCAAAAATGCCCCTTCGCAGCCGAGTCACACTTTCAGCCTCGCGGGGGAAAAAAATTGAATCTCTGGTGCCGTCATCGGAGGCACGTGCCGTTCCTCCGCTTACTAACCATGCTAGAGAGACCCCCTGGCGTGTGCCTGGCGAACCCGACTGAGCGAGCACCAGCCACTCATTCACCAGCCACCAGGCCTAAATAAATGCCTTAGGCGAAGACGAGCCACGCGTGCACGGGTGATAAAGAGCAAAAGTACTGTACACGGTACTCGATTTGATCTTCGCCTCTGGATGTGCTTTTTGTAGAGATAGGCGGCCAATCTATTCTCCTCCTGCTCCTCGTCTTTCGTTATTGATTCTCCTCTTTTCTTCTCCCCTGCCTCGTTCATTCCTTGGAGGCTTTGTGTTTATCTCTCGAGGAACCCATTCTGATCGATTCGAGCCTTGGGAGGCGGCGCCAGCGAGGAAAAGGGGCATCTCCAGCATCGAGAGGCTGAGCGAGAGAGCAAGCAAGAGGGGGAGAGAGAGAGAGACTAGAGCCGCTTCACGACTTCGATACCCACGACCTAGGCCGGTCTTGATGTTCTCCCGTTACCTCTAATTTGTCTGCCGTCATCAACCCCCCGAATCTTCAAAATGCCCGTTCAACGCAGGATCTTCGGTCGTCCAATCCCCGCTATGTCTCCACGACGAATGGCAGTCCTACTTGGCACAATTGCCATCTTTGCAGTCCTAACTCTGGTCTTCACCCTGCCAAGCTCAATACCAGCGGGCCCCTCGTTGGGCAAATTCACAGACCATAAGATTTCGCTCCCGAAGCTGAAGCATATCCCGTCCCCAAGCATTCTCAATCCTTTTCGGCAAGCAGCGCATGCACCACCGGTACAGAAGAATAGCACGAACGGGGAATCATCGTGGTACAGCAATTGGAACTGGCTGAGTCCCTTTTCGTCGTCTGTCACGCTGGATGAAAATCGATCGCTGCTCCCACCTCTGCCTGATCGGCCCCCAATCTATACATATTACGATCACACCATAGAGAAGGAACAAGAGCTCAAGGATGCGGAGAATGCGGTTCTTCTTACATGGAGGAAGGCCTGGTGGGCACAAGGCTTCAAGCCGATCATTTTGAGCCCGGCCGAGGCTATGAATAACCCTTTATACACCGAACTTCAGATGAAGCAGCTCGAGGCTCCCATGATGACTGAAATGTCGAAATGGTTGGCTTGGGAGAATATGGGAACAGGGATGTTGTGTCATTATTTGACTCTACCTATGGGGTCTAATGAGGATCCATTGCTGACCTTTCTGCGGCATGGCGAATATCCCATGTTGACTCGATTTGACAACCTGGGGAGTGGACTCTTCGCAGGATCAAAAGCTGATATAACAGCTGCCGTGAAGAAAGCTTTGGCGAATCCGGAGTTGAAGGCGGCGAAGGACTTTATCAGCGCAGTTCCCCCAGAGACCTTCGAGATCGACCCCAAACACGATGCCTTGGCTTATTACAACGATGAAACCGTGGCCGACAAATACCCCAAAATTGCAGGGGATATAGTTGGAAATGGAGCAAAAGGACTGCTCGTTCTGAACCAGCTCATGATCTCTCATCTACACGGCACGTGGCAGAACATCTTCAACAGAGGCATTGCTGTCGTCAAGCCGCATCCTGACCATATGTCATATGCGGTTCATCCGGCTCGGAGACTAGCCGAGTTCCTCGCGCAGTGCCCTGAATCCCCAATGCCATCTTCATGTCCCCCGAACAGGCCAAAGTGCAAGCCTTGCGTCGCATCTACGCCGCTCAAGATCTCAACACCGCCAGCGTATCGCAACACATCAGACCTGTATACCATTGGCACCGTCCCACACCCATATACAATGGCTGTCCTGACCGCGTTCAGAGACGACATCAGCATCCCGTGGATTCGCCGAGAATCACCACGGGATCCCTGGGTCACCGCTCTGACCAAAGAGCTCCTGGGCACCGGTGTATCTGGCGCGCCTCGTGTAATCAAATTCAAAGAAGCCGTCGCCAGCCAGTACGGCACTGCTCACTCTCTATGGATTACTGCTGAGGGGGACATGCCTGATGACCTAGATTGGCATTTTGGATTCGCCATCCCGCGCAACGCTACCGACAACGGAAGATCCGAAACTCCCGTCCCTGGCCCAGAGCGGCGACCGCCTGTCGAACATGATTTCAAAGATGGACCGGTCCCAACTGAGGCTGAGCTGGAGAAGGAGAAGGCGTTATTGAAGAGAGCGAAAGAATTCGGGGAGGCGCGGACGGCGGACGAGGAAAAGATCCGGGGTGCTATCGAGGCGTGGAATCTGGCAGATACCGAGGCGTGGAAATTCGCGAGAGCATTCCTGGCACGGAGCAGCGTGGAGAGAAAGAAGTGGGAGGAGGAGGAGAAGAAGTACGCCGGAGGAGCAGGAGCGGAGAGGGGCAAGAGTGAAGGATGGGGAAGATGGTTTGACGATTAGATGCCAACTCGCAAGCCTTGCCTTTCATATGTCAATGAATAATAAATATCACGATACAACTGGTCGGGGCGTTCTGGAGCTGCTGTATGAGGTAAAGAAGTGTAATACTAGCTAAGATAGACAAAGAACACGGAACGTACACGAAATTCGAACTGGAGAGAGAGAGGGATGTTGAGATGCCCGTCTCAGTCCGCAGGGAGTTGAAGACCCGGTGCAAAAAGCAAGCGACATCAAGCCATCAGAGAACAAAACGCAAAGGAACAGACAGAAAGCAATGAGGATGTTGAGATCCCCCACGTACACAACACAACACAACACAAACGCTCCCCTAGCTGTTGAAACCCCTGATTCTAAAGCGCATACACCCCCCCCCTCTCCTTCGATATCTAAACCAAAGTATCACCACCCATCTCCCCGCTCAACTCACGACTCGTGACTCCTCTCCTCGTATCTCCTCCCATCTCTCCACTCATCTCTCTACTTCCTAAACCCTCCCTCCTAGCACCCTTCCATTTCTTCTCCACATCATCATCCTCTTTTCTCTCCCCCCCAATTCCCATCCCAACATCCCTGTCCCCTCCCATTTCCTCTCCCGTCCCATCCCGCTCCGCGATCATCTCACGAATATGTTTATTCAACCACACGCCACGCAGCTGCTGCTCTGTCATATCCCTAGCACCCGCGATATACCCACGACATGTGGCGGCGCCGCACAAACATGTGAAGCCTTGAGCCATGGCCCACTCGGTGCTAGGGTAGAAAAATGTTAGTTCGTCGCCCGGTCGCAGGCCGCGAGGCCCGACGCGTACTTGGAGTGCTGTGGTGTCGAAGATCTATTGCTGGGCCGAAGGGAGGGAGTTAGTGGGGGGTGCTTTGCTATGTTTGTGTGTGGGGTTGGGTATGTATGTGGGGTATGTGAGGTGTTGGGGGTAAGGTAGGGAGGGATTGAGAAAAGGG